AATATTAACATTTCAGTCATCAATAAAAATGTTAATATTTTAATTATAGGCCTATAATTAATTGTATAATAGACCTGTTTTAAAATACCTTTTTTAAAACATTTGAATTGAGGTGCAAATAGCCTTATCTTTTGTTATCCTCGCAGCGCGTCAGTTATGCTGTAATATTACGGGGCAAATTACCCCGTCCGTTACGGGGCTAGCATTTGATTTTCTCTTCAAAGTAGACTCTCTTGTGAAAATGTTGTTCAGTGCTTTTTGAAATAATATGTTATATGATATTAAACAATGAATTGTGGATCAGGATTGCAGCATCAACACATTTTCTAATGTATTTATTAAGGCTTTCGTCTGTGTATCTCCGAAAAGCTAAAATTAAGTCATTTCTGTGGAGCACTGTGGAGCTTTATTCCATCTCTGTTTCTTCCACTTGGGAAAACTCGCCTGTTTTTGCTTTTATCCTTCTTTTGCATTATTCAACTTGCCTCACATCTCTCTCCGTCTCTCTTTCTCTCGTTTTTCTCATTCCCTCAGGCTAACTTGAAGAAATTTATGGAATATGTTCAGCAAAGGAACGTTGAGAAGGTATCAAAGTTTCTGGAGAAAGGGCTCGACCCAAACTTCCACGACCCAGAGACTGGAGGTAAGCGACACCACTTTCCTAAAAAGTAAATTCACTAACATCTTCCAAATACCCAACTCTGTGTGTGTGTGTGTGTGCACCTGAACGTACATGTTGACTTTGCTTGGTACTGTTAAATTGGGGCCATGACCCGATCTCTCAGCGTTTATCTGTTGGCTCTGGGTCAGTCAGCAGTAGCTGAATTTGAACTGAAGCAGTCTTGCATGCTGTACGGTAATAGTGGGTATACATTTGAACCATATTTGTGTGATAGTTCGGTTTGATGATCTTTTTGGTCCCCTTAAAAGATGTTAATAATGTTGTTAAAAATGTGGAAAGGTTGGTTTCAAATAATTTATTATTTATGTGTACGGTTTGTTGTTTTAGAATTTTTTCCCCTAATACTGCTTCCTTTATCATCATAGCATGCATTAAAAAAAACTTTATTTTTGGTTTTGTTTGAAATTAGAAGTGACGAGAAATAATAAATATACATATTTGCGAGAAAAATATACATATTTATTAGTAGTAGTAATAGTAATGTATTTTAGATTTTTACATCATGATCTGAAAGTATTTTTGTTAGAGTTTTGCTGAATTTTAATTCATTAGTCATCAATTTATTTTATTTTTTATTTTTTGGTTAATTCACTGCTAGCTAACTTGTATTAACATATTATATCTCAATTCAACTGCTCAAAAAATTTCACTGACATCACATACCATGTCAAAAATGCTCATCGCACATTATTTTGCAAAATCCACTTGAAGGTTGATCAAAACCATGATCAGATCTTATTCCATACATGTGTTAAAAGTTTTAACATAAATAAAAAAATATAGATTAAAGTCATTTCATTGTTCTAGTAGTTAAAAGCGTCCCTAATCAAAGAATCCAAAGAATTCTAATCAAAGAACTGACCTCTGGCCACGGTGATGGACAGGAATTGTAGAGTTTGTGTTTATATACACACATGTAATTGTTACAGATAGAGCAGCTGCGACTTCCAGGTTGTGCAGCATTTCACAGTCAGTGTTAAATTTGATCACAGCCCATGTATCCTTGACCTTTGAAAGAAAGAAAGAAACGGAAGAGAAAGATGGAATCAAAATACAATAGGCTTAAAAAGACACTTCACCCAAATATGAAAATTATGTTGTCATATTGTTTCAAACTTGTAACTCTATTTATTTTGTGGAACATAAAAGGAGATTTTTTGCAAAATTTTTCAGGGCCCATCAAGCTCCAAAAGCACCTTTAAAAAAAATTATTGACAGTCCCTGTGGTTGTTGTATAAAAAAAAGAGCAGCGTGAACATTCTTCAAAACATCTCCTACTGTATTTAATGGAAGAAAGCAAGTTTTTGTTAAAGCATTCCTATAAAACGGATCAGAAATGCACCAAAAATGTCAACTGTTGTTTCTCTGTGCTCAGAATGTCCATTGACAATGGCGTCGCAGCTGGAAGGTTGTGCAGAGCTCATAAAGGTTCTGAAGAATGGAGGAGCTCACCTGGATTTCAGGACCAGAGACGGCATAACTGCCCTTCACAAAGCAGTCCGCACCAAGAACCACACGGCACTTATTGTGAGTAACGCACACACTCATCCTGCTGAAAATAAGAGGGAACATGGGGTTCTCATACATACTTGAAAGAGACATCAGAGGTGTGTGTGTCTGTCCAGACATGAGTCATAGATTGGCACAAAGATGAAAAGTGTTCATTGGCTGTATAAAAGCTTGCTGTGTTTTATAATGATCAGAGCAGATCTTTTGCTGGAGCAGAGGACTCTGATGTGTCATCTGAAGTTCAACTGAAAGAGGCATATCAGTGTTGTTTTTATATGTCAATGATGTATTGATCACAACATTAAGGATTGAGAGAGGCCAGGGTAGTTGTCACAATGTGGTATCTCAGGAACTATAACATTTTAATTAAATCAGCATTGTTTTTATGTTGTTTTTCAAAAACCTAATTCATTATTTTCCTCCAGGTCTGTCTTTTCTCTACATATTTATGTCTGACATGCAGGTGGGGTTTAGCTTGATGTCAAACCTCACCCTTTTCCACACTGTTCCTCTTATTCATTATACAGTACCTTTTGAATGTGAACTCATGAAACGAGTCTTGAATGACTTGTCACGGCTAATAAATCGGCTTGGCCGTTGCAGTCTAGACTCATTCTCAGATAGCACACCCACAGTCCATTCACTGATCGCCTAATGCATATTGCATTACAGAACTGGTAGGAGCTAGCAGAAAATCTTCAAGGATAAGCTGCGAAGTGCTCCAGACTTAATGCCGATAGTCAAAAGTCTTACTTGACTGGTAAGGTTGTTGGTTCAATCCCCACAAGAGGCGATCCTTGAACTTTCGCCACCATGCCCTTGAGCGAGACACATAAAGATATGCCATATGCAATTTTTTATGGAATAACACGCAGAAAATGTCCTAATACTTGAAAGATATCACTGAAATAGTCTCGGTGACAACCTAAGGCTCTGTGAAGAGCGAAAAAGAATCTGACAGTGGGGCGCTGCAGCCAAACTTTGAAGCATTCTTGGCCTGTTAGTTTTCAGCATCGGGTTTGCAGACTTGTCATTTAAGGGCAGTGTTTTGGAGAAAAGAGGCAGGCTAATTGATTGGTGTAATTGAGACAAGTGAAGATGACTTGTGTGTGCAGACGCTGCTGGATCTGGGCGCCTCTCCGGATTACAAGGACAGCCGTGGCCTGACTCCTCTGTATCACAGCTCTATGGTGGGGGGCGACCCGTACTGCTGCGAGCTCCTGCTGCATGATCACGCTCAGGTGGGCTGCATGGACGAGAACGGCTGGCAGGAGATTCACCAGGTAACACACTTATTTTAACATGTTCTTGTTCTCAAAGGTTAATGAATCAAATGCCAAATTTATACTGCATAGATGCACTTCTGAAGGGGCATTTACACAAATTGTGTTCAGAGGTGGCAAAAATGCATTTCCACAGCAATTACAACTGTATGCTTTGATACTAAGGGCTGACGCGGGTCAGAGCAGGTATAGTTTAGTCTGGCTTTTATGCGGCATTGCACATCTACACAGAATTTTGAGCAGGCATAGAGCAGCCTTAACTCGACTGTGTAAAGACATCTTAAACTGCAAAATTGGGTCATTCAGAAAATATCATGGTACATTGGGTAAATGTCACATTTATATGTTCACTACTGTTCAGATGTTTGGGGTCAGTACAGTTTTTTGTTTTCTTTCTTTTTTACAAGAAATTAATACTTTCATTTAGCAAAGATGCATTGAATTGATCAAAATTGACGTTTTTAATGTTACAAATGTTTTCTATTTCTAATAAATGCTGTTCTTTTGAGCTTTCTGTTTGTTGAAGAATCCTGAAAAACAACATGTGTCATCGCCTCCACCAAAATAATAAGAAGCACAACTGTTTTTAACATTGATCATAATAATAATTGGTTCTTGAGCAGCAAATTAGCATATTAGAATGATTTCTGAAGGATCATGTGACACTGAAGACTGGAGTAATGATGCTGAAAATTCAGCTTTGCATCACAGGAATAAATTACATTTTCAAATATATTCAAAATGAAAATTGCAATAATATTTCACAATATTCCTGTATTTTTGATCAAATAAATGCAGCCTTGGTGAACATGAGAGACTTTCAAAAACAACAAAAAATCTTACCGACCCCACACTTTTGAATGGTATTGTAAATACATGTTCAGTATTCAGCAGCTAGTCTGTGTTGAGGTCAGCCAATCATAACCCAGATCATTTACATAAAATCTAAGTATTAAAGCAGTGTGGGTCTCCTCAGGGTTAAAGGGATAAAATTACGGCTGTTTTTGATGCAAGAAATGTTGACGAACATTATAAGTGGACTTCAGGGGAAATAGTACTACAACAACATCCTAAAAACCTTTATAGCACACACACACTCAGGTCACAGTTGACTTACAATCGGCTGACCCTGTGGATTACTGCGGGGTAATACAGTAGGAGATTGTCTTGCAGGGGCTTTTTCTCCATCTCTATCCATGTTCTGGAGGCTGGCCAGGCACACACACTTACTTCTAAACTATTTCTCTCAGTTAGCAGCCCCTGGTGCATGACATTTGCATTCATGACATCTGACCTTTTCAAAAGCTTGAAACGGATGAGAGAGAGAGAGAATATCAGAGAGAGATGGAAGTATCCATACTTGTGTTTTAACCTCTGCACAGGATCTAAAATTAATCGCCAAGTGTCAAATATGAGTTAAAATAGGCTTTGGCAAGTAAATAAGACTGATTTGCTTAACAGTTATCTGGCTTTCTTTATACCATCTTTGTTTATATAAACATATCAATATTGGTGTTAATGTTAATGCTAATAATAATAATGATAATTTAATATATATTTTACACATTATTTATGAACATTAATTTCTTTTCGACTGAAGAAAGAAATACATAAACATCTTGGATGACATGGGGGTGAGTAAATTATCAGGAAATTTTAATTTGAAAGTGAACTAATCCTTTAATTAACATTTGATGGATGAATTCGCTCCTTCCCATCAAAATATTTATTTCATATTTCCCTGTTGCCTGAGGCTATGGATTACAGGTAACAAGATTGTTTAATAATAATGCTGTTTAATAACATTCAGTTTCTTGCACAGACCAATTGTTGTTCTTAGTAAGACCTCAATATATCATCAGGAGCCATGGGTATTAATTTTGTGGGTAACACTTTATTTTAAGGACCGATTCTTACTACTAACTAGATTATCAGGAAATTTTAATTTGGAAGTGAACTAATCCTTTAATATTATTAAAGTTAATATAATTACTCCTAATGAACAAATATATAATATATTATTATTCTTGTTCATATTATGTAATATAGAATTAATATTAATATTACTGTACACACACACACACACATATATATATATATATATATATATATATATATTATTATTGTTTTATCAACATATCAAAGTTATAAATATATAAATAAAGTTATGCATATTCTATTATATTATTATGGTACTACATAATATTAATATTGGTGTAAATGTTGCAGATAATAATAACTTATTTTTATTATTATTATTATAGTTATTATTATTATTGTATGTACTATGTAATTAATATTAATATTGGTGTTAATGTTGACGATAATAATAACTATGATTTTTTTTTTTTAAATTTTATGTACCATATAATTAATATTAATATTAATATTGGTGTTAATGTTGCCGATAATAATAACTTATTATTTTTATAATATAGTTGCTTAGACTTTTAAATAATCCTTAAATTAGCCAATTATCAAATAAATCATTAATTGCAGCCCTATCTGGCATTTAAAATTCAACTGCCAGCAGATAAACATCCACTTCCTCCCTTGTCTCATTTCTTCTCAGGCTTTTCTTGTCTTTTTCTGTATTATTTTACAACAAACATGTTGTTTTGCTGCTTTGCAAGCAGTGATATTTCCTTCAGGATATGCAAATCAATTCTTCTGTTTCTTTCTGCCGTGCTTTGAGAGGAAAGATGAGAGCTTGCGGTCTCTTTTCTGTTTATGAAAAACAGTCATTTTGCAGCCGCAGCTGAGAGTGTCACTTTTGGAAACGGATGGATAGATGGAGGCATAGATGCCCTGAGGCTGGACAGAGCTGCTGGGTCAGATAGGACTGTGTGTGTGTGTGTGTGTGTGTGTGTGTGTGTTGTACCGCTGTACCGATGCCGCCACTGTGAGTTTACAGTGTTTAACCCAAGGCTCATTCCCAAAATTAGATCAGGCCCAAAAATGTGACGGACATGCTATTAAACGGTGTTACCTACACCTCACAAACACACACTGCCCTCAGGAGTCTTGCCTTTAGTGTGGCAGAAAGGAGAGCAGTAGTTGACAGGACTGATTTGTGTGTGTTTGGGAAGGCGGGCACTTTTCCTATCATAATATTTATTTTTCCACCACTCTCCATTCCTTCTAATGTTCTCATCCATCTGTCTGACCTACACTTGTCATTTCTAAAGAGAACCTATGGCAACCCGAGCAAATGCCAAGTGTGTGTGTGTTTCGATGAGACTGCTTTTCACTGTAGTTTTTCTAGTTTAGATAGTCATCCTTGCACATCTGTCAGTGTGTGTGGGTGTGTGTGTGTGTGTGTGTGTTTAAATGGCTGTGTATGTTGTACATCACTGAATGAATGGTTAATTTTGAATCTGAACACATTCATTCCTGTCTCTTTCAGTCTCTCATTATACATTGACAATTATAGCGAACCTACTATGCAAACACACTGTGGAACTGTTGAAGTAAAGCTAACATTAGCTCAGTTCAAAAACCTACACTGCCTACATAGACAGCATTTTAATTATGTTGCCTTCTGAGGTAACTTTTAGCCAGCTTTTTAAATCAGCAAAAAAGCAATAGAAGGCAATCCCAGAATGCATTGGTACAAGCTCAATGAAAAAAAAAATCCAAGATGATGGATATGCGTTATCTACAATTTATGGTACATTTAATGTCTAAATAATTAAAATAAGATCATAATATTTTTTCAAATTTTTTCTTTATAGAAATCGAATTGTATCCATATAGGAAAATCATGATATAATCTCTCACAAATATTTTGTGCAAATGTTTCAGTTTGCCTGAAATTTAATTGAGTGGGTCCTGGGTTCAAAATGAGGCAACACTATCTGTATGAAATTTATTTGTAAAATCTAAGTACGTCAGAAAACATCTCGGTTACGTATGGTAACCCTCGTTCCCTGACACTAGGGGTCGCTCTTGGGAGCCCAAACACCTCTGACATCTTTGAGAAGAGGCCAGTGAAATTTGGTGTGCAGAATTTGCATAGCTGGCCACGCCCCGGACATCCGAGTATAAATAGGCCAACGTGGCATCTGCTCACTCGTTCTGTTCTGAGGAGTCAAGAAGCGTCTCAACCCACTCAGAGGCAATTCGGAGTTGTGGCATGACCTCTCCTCCTCGTAACCTTCCAACGCCCAGGATTTAAGACCTCACTCTCCAACATCCGGGAAAGCCGCCATAGAGGTAGAGGTCTTTTCAGCCAGAGCCTTTTCCCATAGTAATACTCACCATAAAATAACAGCTGAAAAGTCTTGGTAGTACTGTTGGGACAGTGACTATTCCCCCTAGGGGAAAAAGGCAATACGGAGATCACATCCTACCCGATGGGGAGGTAACATGTGAAGATCCACTTATGGACTTACAGAGGAAGTACCACATAGGGAAGGTACTGGGGTGGGCTCCGCGTAAGTGGAGATCTACCAAGACCCAGAACCTATCGACAGAATGTCTGTCTAGGGGGAACACTGACCCTCAGGCGCAATACAGTGGAGAATACACACATGGGTACTCAAGGGAACCTACCTCGTAATGAGTTCTAATAGCAAGTTCCTCCGTCGAACTTTGCTAAGAAAAAGTGCTTATGTGATGGAAGGGTAGTCCAGAGTTCATGAAAGGAACCTGAGCTGGACTGAATAAGCACATAATTACCCTGGGGGGAGTAGCGCTGGTAGCACGCTCTACACCCTGCCAGTCCCCAGAGTCAAAGAACTGACGTTCAGAACTCTAGAAGAAACTGGTTCCATTCGTAGATTATAAAATCTAGCAAATGTATTAGGTGTAGCCCAGCCTGCAACTCTACAAATATCTGCTAGAGAGGGCTCGCCAGGGCTGCTCATGCAGCCATGCCTCTAGTAGAGGGAGCCCTCACTCCCAGTGGGCAAGGTAGGCCTCTGGCCTGATAGGCCGTTAGGATCGCATCCACAATCCATTGGGAGACCCTTTGTCTGGAGACAGCATTCCCCTCTTCTTGGGTAAGACGGGAAAGAATACTATGGCTTGGACCTCAAATTGTGTGGCTTGTTGAGGACAGATCTGCTATTACAAGTTAGCAAGTTGGTACAAGCACTGCTTGTAATGTAAATGAGCGGCCGTCTTCATAGAGAGGGCACTGAACTCAACTGACTGAAGGGGTTCAAACTGATCTCTCTGTAAGGCCTGCAAGACCACAGTGAGATCCCAAGAGGGAATGAGACGTGGCCTCGGAGGGTTCGATCTCCGGGCGCCTCTGAAGAACCTAATAACCAGATCGTGCTTCCTCACCGATCTGCCTCCCACGGTGTTGTGGTTAGCCGCAATCGCAGCCACGTACACCTTAAGTGTAGAAGCAGACAAGTGCCTGTCCAGACCTCCTTGGAGGAAGGAGAGCACAGATCTGATTCCACATCTCCGAGGGTCCTTTCCCTGGGAAGAACACCAATTCACGAAAACGCGCCACTTCAGGTCGTACAGCCGCCTTGTTGAGGGGGCTCTGGCCTAAGTAATGGTATTCACCACTGCTTGTGAAAAGTCAAGAGTTCCTCCTGGTCGCATCCAGGGACCAAACATAAAGGTTCCAGAGATCCGGGCGCTTATGCCAAATTGTGCCCTTCCCCTGAGAAAGGAGGTCCTTCCTCAGGGGAATTCGCCAGGGAGGAACTGATGCCATGAGCCCGAGCTCCGAGAACCAGGTCCTGTTGGGCCAATAAGAGGCCACAAGCAGGAGCTGTTCTCCATCTTCCCTGACTTTGCACAGTGTCTGTTCAATGAGGAAACTGAGGAAATGCATACTTTAGTAGGGCCCTGGGCCAGCTGTGAGCCAGTGCATCCGTGCCGAGGGGAGCCTCGGTCAGGGAGTACCACAACTGGCAATGGGTCGATTCCGACAAAGCAAACAGGTCCACCTGTGCCTGGCCGAACCGACTGCAAATCAGCTGAACCGTTTGGGGGTGAAGCCTCCACTCGCCCCTGAGCGAGACCTGTCGTGAGAGGAGATCCGCTACACTATTGAGGTCACCCAGGATATGAGTGGCATGCAGAGACCTGAGTCTGTGCTGGCTTAGGGCTGTCGCGATAACCGCAATATCGCAATACCACGCTATTGAACCCTGATGCTGCATGCCCGTTGCACACGGCGCCCCAGCCTGTCTTGGAAGCATCTGTTGTAACAATAATGCGTCTGGACACCTGTTCTAAGGGCACTCCTGCCCGTAGAAAAGAGATGTCCTCCCAAGGAATGAAGGTATGGCGACACAACGATGTGATGTTCACACGGTGTGAGCCATGACGCCATGCCCATCTCGAGACTCGGATACGAAGCCAGTGCTGAAGCGGTCTCATATGCATCAGTCCCAGTGGCGTGACCGCGGCTGAGGACACCATATGCCCCAGGAGCCTCTGAAAGTTTTTGAGAGGGACCGCTGTTCTCTGCTTGAGAGCCCTCAAGCATTTCAGCACGATCCTGAGAGGCGTGCAGTCATCGTAACAGAGTCCAATTCGCGAGTGAGCTAGGATCAGCCAGTCGTCGAGGTAATTGAGAATGCAAATGCCCACTTCCATGAGAGGGGCAAGGGCAGCCTCCGCGATCCTCGTAAAGACGCGAGGAGACAGGGACTGCCTGAAGGGAAGAACTTTGTACTGATATGCCCGTCCTTTGAAGGCAAACCGAAGAAACGGATAATAATAATGAAATAATAGTATAATAGAAATAATAATAATGAAATAATAATAATAGAAATAATAATAATGATCATTTTGTTATTTTACTAACAGTAATAATATCATAAGACGAAAATCAACAACAAAGATTGAATTCTTAGGAGTTTTTAAATTAAGTTTATTATTATTATTATCGACAGTGATATCATAATATTATTGTTAATAATAATGTTTTTTATTTAATAACAGTAAAATATCATAAGACCATCAACAACAACAATTAAATACTTAGGAAAAATAAGAGTGTCACGGGTTGCCTACTGTGGCGGAGACGAAGAGATGAAGGAGCGTGGAGACGACGAGGATTAACAGGAAACAGTCTTTATTTCTCCAAATAAAGAACACACAGACAGGAACTCCCATGTAGGACGAGGGGTTGACATTCAATTCCAGACAAGGGAGAACAGAACGGGCTCGAACTCAAATAGGGCAGATAACGAGGGGCAGACAGGTGATGAGGATAACTAATAACAAGGAACAGGTGATTACTAATAATGGGAAAAGGAACTGGAAGGACCAAATAAGGCCAAACAGGAACTAAACAGGAATACACACGTGACAGATATTATTATTAATAGTAATATCATAATATTATCATTAATAATAATAATAAAGATTATAATTTTTGTTATTTTACTAACAGTAATAATATCATAAGACCATAATCAACAACAATGATTAAATACTTAGGAAAATAAGTTTTTTAATTGAGTTTTTTATTATTATTATTATTATTATTATTATTATTATTAGCATTATTAGCATTAACATTAGCATTAGCATCATTAATAGTAATATCATAACATTATTATCAATAATAATAATGATTGTTTTATTTTATTTTACTAACAATAATAATATCATAAGACCATCATCAACAACAACAATTAAATACTTAATTGGAAAAATAAGAGTTTTTAAATTGAGTTTTTTTTTTGTATTTTTATTATTATTATTAATAGTAATATCACAATATTATCATAACAATAGTAATAATAAAAAGTTGCCTCTTTCATGTGCAACAGGACATTTTGTCAGTCAGTGTCACTGTAGCGTCTCACTGTCCAGTGATAATTCCAGCGACACATTTCTTGTTGCTGAACTTGGTTAGCAGCGATGGATTAACCAGAAGGGCATCTGGACAGCGCGTCCAGCAGGTCACCATACAGAGCCATATAAATGTTTTCAAATCGCAGGAGACACCAAAAACCTCTCCCAGACTGCATGGCCAAAGATGAACAAACGCAACAGTAAATGTTAAATGGCCCCTGTGCTGGAGAACGATTGGTACTTGGTGGATCTTACAGCTGGGTGCCCCTGGGAGTCCCACACATGCCCCGTCACTAATCCTGCCCCGCTCGCTCACTCTCTGTGTCTTTTCCGCTCTTTTCTCAGGCAGACAGCTTTTAAGCAGTTTTTCTACATTCCACACTCCATTAGTATGCAGAGAGGACACGTTTTGAATTATGGTGGAAAGAAAAGTGACATTGATAACACCAAACAAAGGCAAACAGTTCTGCTCTTTCTCATTTCATAAAGCAAGAACATCAGGATGTGAGAGCGAGTTGTGTGTGCGTGAAAGAGAGAGGCAGCAGCTATTGTTTTACTCATTAACATGATTCTAGTTCTGTGCAGACTGCAAATTGACACAAAATGGAAACAGCCACAATGATGCAAAGTTTTTATGTGTGTGTGTTTGTGTGTCGTCAGGCTTGTCGTCATGGACATGTGCAGCATCTGGAACACCTGCTGTTCTACGGAGCGGACATGAGCGCTCAGAACGCTTCTGGAAACACTGCCCTGCACGTGTGTGCTCTCTATAACCAGGTAACACACACTCATTCACTCATACTGTATGCATTCGCTTAGCAACCAGATAACACACACAAACACACGTCAGGCTCAGATGCTTGAACCCACAAGGACACACTCAATCATACTGAAATATCTGCACTCTTTTCAGCCAGGAAAAATGATCAGATGCAGACATTTGTGTATACGTGGCATTAGCAATTTTTATAATGTGTAATATTTTGTAATATCAGAGTTAATGAGCATATACAAAGCAGCAAGGTCACAGATTGTTCATGCAGTCACATAGAAGCACAAAGAGTGATCTTATCCTCAGGTGTGTATGTGTGCGTTTGTTTGTGTGTTTGTGTGTGCGGCGGGCTCATGCATTTTAATTCTGCTCTTATTAAGTATTAATGGATGCTCCCACAACACACACCCACACAAACACAAAGACAGTCCTTTAGGACTCGCCTGAAAACACATGGAGTCACAGAACTCACATGTGCTGTTCTCTCTCACTATTGAAACTGTTATTGCTATTGAATCGTCTGTGAACCTGCTTTTACTGTACATCTCAATTGCCTGCTCTAATATAGAGACTAGCTGATATATTGGTTACACTAATAGGCTGAACTTTGGCTATTTTGAGGTTTGTTTGTTTTTTTTGGATTGAGGATGTAAATATAAACAATATATATATAAGTTTTACAATATATACATATACTATATACTATATGTAGTATGTACTATAAATACAATTTGAGTCAATAAATAAGTTTATAGTATTTTTTTCTAAAAAAAATATTTGACATTAAATATGAAAAGAATATTTTAAAAGAAGTCTCTTGTGCTCATCAAGTCACCAAAGCTACATTTATTTGATCAAAAATAGTAATGTTTTGAAATATTATTAGCATTTAAAATGTAAATTTTCTATTTCAATATATTTTAAAATGTAATTTTTTGCTGTGATGGCAAAGCTGAATTTCGAACCTTCACACATGATGCTTCAAAAATCATTCTGATATGCTGATTTTCTGCTTAAGAAACATTTCTTATTATTATAAATATTGAACAGTTGTGCTGTTTAATATTTTTGTGGAAACCGAGATAATTAGAATTTATTAAATTTTTTTGATGAATAGAAATTTCAAAGAACAGCATTTATTTGAAATAGAAATAATTTGTAACAATGTAAAAGTTTTTACTGTCACCTTTGATCAACTTAATGCATCCTTGCTGAATACAAGTATGAATTTTTATGATTATTTGCAACATGTATGACCAAATGTGTGTGTTTGTTCTATATAGTTTGTGTCAAATATTGAGCTAAATTGTACAAAATTCTGTTAAACTGTACAAAAAAACCAGTACAATTATGGGATATACTTCATGGGAAACTCAATTTAAAAATGTAGAAAATAATATTTTCTAGTACGCGAAAAGCTTTCTTTTATGTTTGTCGTTAGAGCTAGCTAATTAGAATTACTTTTATATAAAAGCATTCAAAGTCTATCTTAAGTCTCCATTTTGTTGGTGTGTGTGTGTGTGTGTGTGTGTGTGTGTGTGTGTGTGTGTGAGTGAGTGAGTGAGAGAGAGAGAGATACAGCAGTGGTTTCTGTTTATCTTCATTCAGCTCATTATAATGAGATTAAACTACAGCTGACCTGCACTAATGTAACATCCAGTCTGGATGAAGTCAGTTACAAACAGATCAATAACATCTAAACAACAAAAACATGAAGAAAAGAGGACACCATGCAATGACCTCCACTTCTGAAACATAAAAATAGTACTCTGAGTATTACAGAAATATCTTGGATCATAGTTGAACTGTTGACGTCTAATTATTTTCTGTAACTTCATTTCTCAAGTTTGGCTAGGAATGTTTGTCAATCGTCACATCTCAAACACAAACTCACATGCACAGCGCCAGGCATCTTTCTGACAGCACAGATGTGTTAGAGCCGTGTGATAGACGCACTGCAACAAGAAACAGAGCTGCTGAGACAGCAAGGAAAATCACATGCAACAAATACAGCAAAAGACTGTTACTGAGTGTTTGTGTATGTGCTGTTCTTTAGAAACAAATTTGCTGGAAAATGTCCTCAGATGTCTGTCGGAAGTCTGTCAAAACGGTCCTGTTAGAGACGTTCTCTAGAGGGCAAATTAATCATAAAAAGATTAAATGATGTAAAATTATGTCCAAAAGATGTCTAATATGGTCAACTAGTATATTTCAATAATATATAACTATATAGTAATATAGTTAAAAGATTGATTGATTGATTGCTTCTGTCAAAACTCCTTTTGTTGGTGTTTTCAAAAGAAAAATGCTGCAAAAGTCGACAAAATTATGTTTAAATGTCCAGAAGTTGTATCTTACAGTCAGGAATAGTTTATTTTTATAACTTGCTGTATATCCAATCGTTATATATATAGAATTAGCCTACTTTAAGAGTAAGAGAAGTGCTTTGAAGTAAACTAAATCTGTCAAAAACTTTTTTTGTGGACATTCTCAGACAGAAAATTGGCTCGTAAAGAAATTTAATAATGTCCAAATTTGTATTATAGTGGTATGGCTAATATATTTACAGTGCAATATAAACAGAAGAATTTATTTGTTTAAACATAAGCTTAATTTAAAATCAGTTGGATGTCTTTATGCTGCTATACAATCATTTGTATGCAGTAGCATGTTTCTTGCCATACTTTGACACATTTTCTAGAAAGTGTCCTCAAAAGTTAACTTAGTCTTTTTAAAATCCTTTGAGACATCCTTTGAGAAGGACAGATTACTGTCCTTAAGAGATTTAAAATGTCCAGAAGTTGTATTTTATGGTTAACTAGTATGTTTATACAATATTTCAGTATATTACATAGCAACATAATTCAAATTTGTTGTTTTATAAGTCATTTTGAAGTCCCCATTCATACAGTATTTCTAGGTAAATGTGTTTGTAAGTTTGTTTCGATTCATATTCTAAAGGACCAATTTTGTAAACAGTGTTCTGAGAATTTTGCTAAATCTGTCAAAAACTCCCTTTGTTGAGGTTCTCAAAAAGAAAATAGCTCATAAAAAGAATAAATGAATGACTTTAGATGCAAAAACCTTTAATGCCGGGGTTCAGACTACACAATATTTTTGTCGGTCACGATAGTCACTGTGTCAGATTACACGATTTTGACTCCTAAAATCTTGTCATGTCGTGGACAAGAAACATGTCAGACAGCATTTTTTTTTTATTGACTATTCGTTGGGGGGGAGATTTCGGGTTCGGGTCGGTCTCAGGCTCTAAATTTAACTGTGCCGCTCGGGTCGGGTCAGACGATCTCGGGTACAGGCCGGGTTCGGGCTTCAGTTTAAAGCCCATGCAGACCTCTACAGTAGAGCCTATAAGTGTATAATTATAATTAGCTTAACTTAAGACCAAGTGAAGTTTTCATGTAGGTAACAAAGACAAACACATGTATGAGTTTATGTGAGTTTTGTACTTTAAGGTCAATTTGTCGTACTTGAAAGACAATTCTTAAAATGCATGCTCAGGAGTTGCTAAATCTGTCATGAAGTAGGTAAATGCGTGTGTTGTGTGTTGTGTGTTGTGTGTGTGTGTGTGTGTGTGATAGCGGTGATAGCGAGTTTTAAGGACTCTCTGCGGATGTTTAGCTCAGGCTCAGAGGAGAGTGGATTGATTCCCAGAAAGAGACTCTGAGAGAGGACGTATCAGCCCGAGGAGAGAGGCATTACTGGATAGACGAGGGAAAATCTACTAGGGCAATGATGGAAGAAGAGACAGAGGGAGTGTGAAATAGTGCCAAAACGATGAGGAGAGCAGGAGGAGGTGAAAGGAAGAGATGACCACCTGATGTGGAACAGAAGGGGGAATTCACAGCTATGGATAACCAGAAGGTTGATGAGATTTGTCTGTGTGTGGGAGGTCAGGTTTCGCTCGATTTGTGGATACCAAAAGTCCAAAAGTGAAGACAGTAAAACTGAAGAAGCTACAGTTGGGCCACCTACATCACGCTCTCCATGATCAAATGTTTCATTATCCTTCAATTGCAAGTCTCCATGCATGTTTAGGCAAATGTGTGTTTGTGTTAGTTTATGTGTGTTTCTATTCATACTTTAAGGACCAGTTTTCAAAAAATAAAAAAAGGTAACACTTTATTTTACTTGTCCTTGTTACACATTACATGTAATAACTATTATAATAATGATAAATTATTCATAATTACATTCAAGTAACCCCTAATCCTAAACCTAACCGTATAGTAAGTATGTACTTAATTAATATTACTCAGTACTTTAATGTATAATTACACTGTAACAAGGGCACCTTAAAATAAAGTGTAACAAAAAAACAATAATAATAATAAATAAATAAAATAATAATATAATATAATAATAAATAATATAATAAAAAATCATAGAATTTAGTTAAACCTGTCTAAAGCTAAATCTAAATGAAAATGGCTCTTTAAAAATCTAAATAATAATGTCCAAAAATTAATATTTTATGGTCAGGGCTACTTTAGTTTTTTATAATTTACTGTATGTCCTGTAGTTATTTTAGCCTGATTTAGGCCTAATGTATGCATTTTAATAGCATATAACATTTCCATGCATTTAGAGTTTTATTAGTTTTAACATAAACTAATCAAACTTAATAAAATGTACATTTGTCAGTTATGCATAAATGAAACGGGTAAGATTTTGGCACTCAAAAAAATACAATAAAATTAATAAACAAAATAATGGCATAATTTATTATTGACTATTTGCATATGTTTTGTTTTACTTGATCATATTTTCAAAATGCATTTATTCAAACTGCTTAGAATCAGAATAAATCTGTTAATTGAAAACAATTAAAAACAAGTTAAAACAGTTAAATTATTTCAGTTAAAAAGTATGAGCATGGTTTGAATATGGCTCGCTGTGGAACAAGCTAAATTTATGGGATTGAAACCAATTTATTTCTTGGTAAATATAAACCTGGTTACTGTGTATTTAAAACACATTCGGTTCATTAATACTATTACAGAAATCGTACCTATTTCTTACCAGTTTTGTTTATGTATATCTGACAATTATATATTATAATGCAATGTTAAGTTTATTTGTTTATATTAAAACTGTGTAATTCAAATGGATGGATTTTTTTTTTCAATTCAGATTCCACTAGGATGTTATGGGTGGTTGCTAGGGCATTGCTGTGTGGTTTTTACGGTGTTTAGAGTGGTTGTATGTTATGTGATTGCTAGTGTGTTGAATATTATGAGCATTTATTACTTTTTGCTGAACAGAATTTCTGATCACAAACTCTTTTTTTCTCATGTCTTGTTTACATAAACACTATTTGATTGATTTATCGCTTTAATGTATGCTGGTGTATTATTATGGTGGTATTTTTCATACGGACCCGCCCCTAAACATTTCATAATAAGAAGGCACTGTGGTTGACCTTTGACGACCTCGTTCTGTCTAAGTGGACAGTTCATGGCCAAAATGAGCTGCAAAGTGAATCAGAATTTATGGCGACTTCATTCCATCTGTCTCTGTGAGTCTAGTCTAATAGTGATGTCCAGTATAGTCTCTTCTTTGTGTTCTTATAAAGTTTCACCACTAGAGGTCACATGTTGCTCTATTGCCCAGCAGACATTCAGTTCATTGAAACGTCACATTGGCATAAAAGGCCACATTCAGTAGAGTTTGAGCTTTCATACTGCTGTTTCTCCAGACCGCTGCAGCTCTGATGACTTTTGATTTATTGTTTTACATTAGTGTGTATAGCATATAATTTTTTCAGTTCTGAGTGTTTGTGTCCTTTAAATGGATCAATAGTGCAGAAGAGCGTATCAGAGATAGAAAGCAAAAAAGAAAGAGGGGGAAAAAATCTGTGTGATGTGGAAACTCAATCATCGTTCTGTTAATTCACTCTGCAGTCGAAATTACATATTGATTTTTGCACAGAGCCGTAACATTAAACACATGCAGAGCTCCACTCTGTCTCCTGTATGACAGACCTTGTTCTGAATAGCATGCTATCATACTACTGGCAGTTTTTGCAGTATGTGCTGTATAGAATGCATGGGTATTCCACACTGCAAAGACTTGACCTGAATGTACCAGATGCAGTTTGTTTCTTGACTCATTATCTGATCCAACTGACATAAGTTGAGACGTCTTTCACAAAATTAGACTGAAAATACAAAATATTTCATATTTCATATGATAATAGTTATGTAGCTTGCAACTATTTGAAACATTAATATTTCAAGTATTCACTTACTTAGAATTTTATAATAGTATTTCACTTGTTATGTTTAAACAATTGCCAGTATACATCTTACACTGTGCAGTGTTCTGTAGTAAACTAGTATTTCAATTTCAACCCTGTGTGTTACTATATCCCACAATGCAATGCACTCAACTTGACCTTCCATCACCAGTCAATTTCAGCTCCACTTTTGTTCAAAACGTTTTAGTATAACTTTGAAATGTTTCTGAAAGAGTTTCTTATGCTCACCAAGGTTGCATTTATTTGATCAAAAATACGGTAAAAACTGTAATATTATGAAATATTATTACAATTTAAAATTACAGTTTCTATTTGAATATATTTTAAAATATTGTAATGTTTAAGCTGAATTTTAGCAGCCATGACTCCTTATTCTGATCCTTCCGAAATCATTCTAATATGCTGATTTGATGCCCAAGAAACTTTCCTTATTATTATCAGTGTTGAAAACGGCAGTGCTGCTCATTACTTTTGTGGAAATAAAACTGAAAATGAAAATCAGAACAAAAAATCTGAAAAAAAATAATAGCATTTATTAGAATTAATAAATAGATTTTTGGATAATTTAGATTATAAATGTCTTTACTTTCACTTTTGATGAATTGAATGCATCCTTGCTGAATAAAAGTGTTAATTTCTTTCAAAAAACAAACACAAAAATCTTAATGTCCCCACACATTTGAACGGTATCTGTAAAAAAAATTTGTTATAAGAAGTGTCTTTACCAGAGACACTTCTGATTTGTGTGTGCTTGAGAGAGAGACAGACAGGAAGTGCACTACAAGTGTAATTAAGGTTCCATTGAAGGTGTGTTAGTGGGCCAAGAGACGCTGTGATGTTTACTCACCACTGTTAGGAAACTAGGACACCAATCCCAGCTGAGTCATGTCTGTGTGGTACAGCTCCTAAATGTGTGCGTGGACTGTCAAAACTGTCTACAGAGAAAGAGAGAGAGAGGAATGATAGCCAGATGCTGTGCTGACCTTCTAAACACTCTGTCTCGGATGCCCATAGAGAAACACTGCCATTAAAGTAGCTCTCTCTCTGTTTTACTCTCTGATAGCAGACCTACATATGAGCTGGTGAGCTAATTGGTCCCAGTGGAACATCAGTTTTGTAATTTCTGTTGTTGTGAAAGCGACACGCTCGCACACAAACACACTCATCCCATTCGGGCACATTTTCATGGACATGCAATGTACGCGTTTTACTAGCGACAAATTATCACGACGCTTGTAATCTCTCTTGTTTGTCTCTCTCCAGGATAGCTGCGCGAGAGTGCTGCTGTTCAGAGGGGCGAATAAGGAGATTAAGAACTACAACAGCCAAACTGCCTTCCAGGTGAGAGCGCAAGACCTCTGGGTTCCTGGAGATCAAACACCGTGAAAGAGTCAATGGAGCTGGGTCTTATTTAAACTGATGCTGTCGTTCACTGCCCACAGAGCCAAACTGTATTTAACTTTAGGCCAAGAGCAGTTTCAGAGCTGCGACTTGAGAATTTACACTGGACATGAAAACGTCTACCTAGATAACATTTGTTGGCACTTCTGACGAAAGTCTGGTAGGCTGCTAAATGATGAGACACCTTCATTTGACCAAAATTTAGCTTAGCACTTTTGCAAACTCATCAGAGAACATTTTAATTAAAGATGGTGGACAGTGTCATGGGAAATGTTGATAGTAAATATAAACATTTAATCAATAGTACAATGAAAAGGTGATGGTATAAAATGGTACATCAATCTAAACGTTGATATATACAGTGGTACTATATTTCAAAGTGTGGTATTGCTATGGTACCATGTTAAAAAAAAAGAGAGAGAATTGATAAGAAACCATGGCACTTTTTGTAGGGCTGGGCGATATAGCTAAAAAATGTATCAACGATATAATGTTTCATATTGTTCGGTATCGATAATTATTGACATTTTTTATAACCTTTTTTAAAACAAAGAGCAATAGAATTTTTTTTTAATTTAACCACTGTATTTTTAAATTAACCCAATTTATTGAGACAAACAACAAATAATTTTTGTTTTAACAAACACACATTCGCGACGTGTTTTCTAAACGTTTAAACTGTTTTAACTTCGCATGGCTTTCTATACATCTCTTCTGTGAGACGCGAGTGCAGCAGTCATATTTGTCCGTCTAAAAAATGCGCTGAATATGCGTTCTGTGTGAATGGCTTGGTTTCGGTTTTAACCTAATCAAGATCTTCTCCGCGTTGAGCTTCTATATTTCTGTAATATTTTGAATGAATAACGCAGCAGCGGTGCGTCTCGTGGGCTAGACTAACAAAACATTAAAATGCAACAACGTCACTTACATCATCACCGCATCTCGTGCGCCACTGATGACGCTCCCTGATGCACACCTAACATTCAAATGCAAATGTTTATTTTAAATTCGACTAATATTCATTCTTTATTCACAAACTCCTCATCACAGGCAGGCACAGCACTCATTTCAGCATGTGTTTGTGTTTGTGTGTGCTGTCTGCGTCACTCATAGCACGTGCCTATATCGTGCGCTATATCGAACATTTTTTCTATCGTTATCGAAGAAGGTGTACCGTAGATAAATATCGATACCGTTTTATCGCCCAGGCCTAACTTTTTGGTACTTTTTTTGTTACATTTGCTGTGGTATTACCATCATGCCACTGTCTAAATTCTATATGTACAAAAGTATAGGTTCATTAGGATTTAAAAAAAATCTCTTATGCTCACCAAGGCTGCATTTATTTGATAAAAATTTCAGTAAAACTGAAAATTTGTGAAATATTATTACAATTTAAAAGAATTATTTTCTATTGTAATGTACTTTAAAATGTAATTTATTCCTGTGATGCAAAGCTGACTTTTCAGCATCATTACTCCAGAATTCAGGGTCACATGATCCTTCAGAAATCATTCTAATATGCTGATTTGCTGCTTAAGAAACTTCTTTTTTATTATTATTATAAAAGTTGAAAATAGTTGTGCTGTTTAAAACTTTTGTGGAAACCGTCATACAGATTTTTTCAGGATAATTTGATAAATAAAAAGTTCAGCATTTATTTGAACTAGAAATCTTTATAAATGTCTTTACTGTCACTTTTGATCAACTTAATGCATCCTTGCTGAAAGACAGTTATTAAAAAATCATTTAAAAAAAAACTTACAGAGTTCAACCTTTTAAACAAATATTGAAATATGCTTCAATTTTTCAATCTGTCAAGTTCACACTGCCCCTACAAACACCATATTCCATTAGTTGTTTGGTTTTGCTGGATCTGTGTATTAACCATGATAGCATTTGGTCAGGGTAAGCGGCATGTTAACATGACAAGTCAAATGGTTCACTCGTGCCCTTCTGGTCCAAATGTACAATGTGATGCTTCCTGTGAACATACTAACAGCATATTGGGATTGGTGTTTGTCTGCTTCTATTCCATGATGCTCGGTGCTTGAACTCACAGTACAATTGATGTTGACACAGATTTTCAGCTCAAATCAAAGTTAATTTGTTAGTACAAGGGGTGGGGGAACCCGACTTGGTGCGGCTGCATCATTACTCCAGAATTCAGGGTCACATGATCCTTCAGAAATCATTCTAATATGCTGATTTGCTGCTTAAGAAACTTCTTTTTTATTATTATTATAAAAGTTGAAAATAGTTGTGCTGTTTAAAACTTTTGTGGAAACCGTCATACAGATTTTTTCAGGATAATTTGATAAATAAAAAGTTCAGCATTTATTTGAACTAGAAATCTTTATAAATGTCTTTACTGTCACTTTTGATCAACTTAATGCATCCTTGCTGAAAGACAGTTATTAAAAAATCATTTAAAAAAAAACTTACAGAGTTCAACCTTTTAAACAAATATTGAAATATGCTTCAATTTTTCAATCTGTCAAGTTCACACTGCCCCTACAAACACCATATTCCATTAGTTGTTTGGTTTTGCTGGATCTGTGTATTAACCATGATAGCATTTGGTCAGGGTAAGCGGCATGTTAACATGACAAGTCAAATGGTTCACTCGTGCCCTTCTGGTCCAAATGTACAATGTGATGCTTCCTGTGAACATACTAACAGCATATTGGGATTGGTGTTTGTCTGCTTCTATTCCATGATGCTCGGTGCTTGAACTCACAGTACAATTGATGTTGACACAGATTTTCAGCTCAAATCAAAGTTAATTTGTTAGTACAAGGGGTGGGGGAACCCGACTTGGTGCGGCTGCATAAACCAACACGGAAACCATTAGACAGCTGCTTTGATTCTGCTTTTAGTGAGGAAAAGTTAATTAGCCCTCACATTCATAAAAGAGAGAGAAGAGAGTATCATATTAGACAGAATCACATGAGTTATTGGTCTTTGGTCCTTATTTGAGACCTGTTTGTTCACCATACAAGTAAAAAAAAATTGCCATAGTATAATGGTGTACCATGTAAATTTGAGTGTAATAGGCCTACTATGATACTACTTTGTAGGGCCCTGGGTATTGACACATTTCACAAATCTGCTTAAATCCGATTCACAAATTTTTGCATCGATCTGATTCGATATCGATTTGTTTGGATGTACATCAGGTACGGTACATGTCAGTTTTTCTTAAGGAAAGCAATTTTTTAAGTAAAGCTGTAAATTATACAAGGAACCCTGTCAGTTTATACAGAGTCCAGATTTAATTGCTATTTATTTTTAGATATGATGTTTAACACTGAAATAAAAACGTGGTATACAAACATTTAAATTGCACATTAGTTTTTATATGAACATTTAATAATATACCGGTAACTGTTTCTATTTGACTCTAATTCGTTGTTGAAACATAAAAATTTCAATGGTGGCTGTCATAACTTCTTTTCATGAGAGATGTATTTAAACATTCAATAAATGAGACATCACTAGGAATATAATGAATATGCAACATAGTGCATATGTAATAATGTTCCTGTCTACAGGTATTTTTTTCTAGCTAACAATCGAGCTATATGGAAAATGAAGGCTTACCTGTGCATGACATGTTTACAAGCTGTTTTGTTGATGACATTCCACGACTGAAACACGATTGCGCAATTTCATGAGACATGATGCATTTCAGTAGGTTACTGTATCTTCTTGCTGTAACGGTTAGTAAAACGGAAGAGATGATCGTTCACGCGCGCTCTGCGTTGCTACTTGAACTGAGGCGATTACAGCCGTCTGTTACGCCACACTAAAGAACGCCAAAACGGTATTCATTATTTGAATTTCGTGATGAAACTGACAGAATGTGTAAGCTGAGACTTTTTCATATTAAAAGGAACAAAGTACAATGCTTATTGCGATTGTTGGAGGCGAGCTACGAATAATATTTAGTGAAGTTTAGTTGATGCATCAACAGAAAATAGCCTAAATAGACTAAAACATTGATCTAGGGATTTACTGTAAGAATTTATATCGGTTTATCAAGATGGAGATTAAAATGAATTACACAATATTGTCAAAGCCAGCCCTAGTGCATAGTTTCACTCCATATTCTAACAGTCAGCTATAATCAGTATTCCATTTATTTATTTATTTATTTGTAGACAGAATAATGTACAATCAGAATGCATTATGAATTGCTGAC